TGCTCTGAATCTAATGGGACTCGTAGCCTTCAGCCTTTTCATGCTCGAAAGGTTCACCGTACCGCCTGAAACCCTAATTACGCCGGGTACGCCACGTCGTTTATACGTGTGCTCCTTATGCGGATATTTGATTCTAAAGTTACAATTAGTCGCTATCGCTAACAGCGGTCGCTATTAATCACGCTCTCGAGCCATTCTCCCGAAGAAACGGTTTTCACCGCCGTGCTTCAATCGCGTGGGCGCGAGCGCGCAATCGCGATGAACGGGGTTCTCGTACGCGGAAGAAGTGGTGGCGAACGCGGTAGTGCATCGCGACGTTAGAAAGCAATGTTAAGTCCTCCTTTCCTCCCCTTTCTCCCCCCCCCCCCTTTGCATTATTGCGATCAGCCATGCAACGCGGCGACTCGCGACGACCGGGCGCGAACGAGCCACGCCGCGCGGACGCGATCCTCGCGGAATTTCCATCCCGGCGATGCCGCACGAAACGTACGTGTCGGCGCCCGGTAAATCATACTTAGATTCAGCTGTTGCACTCATGAGGCAACGGCGACTCTTCCGTCTCGATTTCTTTCTCTCTCTTCCTCCCGTTCTCTTTCTCGGCGCGCGATGCGCGCCTCGTCCGTCGCCGCTGGCATTTCTTCCACGGTAGGCTGGTCAAGCCGGCTGTGTTAAAACCGAGACTTCCGCTCCTCGCCCTCGGTCACTCGGTCACAAGCCGCCAAGTTGACATGACGCGTGCAACCGAAAGTATCCTCTCTAATGCAATTGCGCTGTATTCGGTACGAGAACATGTACGCGAACATTGCGATTCTTTGACGAATTTAAAGTAGGTTTTTCTTCGGTGAAAATATCGAATTAGAAGTATATACTTCTATACGAGATGTAAGATATCTTTCGTGATACATTTACAATATTAAAAGATAATGCATAAAAAGGGAGCACTCTGTGTGTTGTATCGATTAAAATTGAGACATAAATCATTTCAAATTAATTATTATATTTATTATGTCAATAGAATATTATTAATATAATAATTATTATTATATAATAATTATTATTATATAATATTATATACCGAAATTGTTATATTTATACTAAATTAATTATTACCGATAAAGTATTATAATGTGATGTGATTGAGAAAGTCATTCATTATACCTAAAGTTATTTTGCGTATACCAGAGCGAAATCTCTCTGACTTAATAAGCATATAAAAACTACAATATCCTCACGTATAATTCGCACATTATGCACATGTCTGTATCATAATTAGGACAAATCTATCACGCGGGCGATATTAATCACCTGCATCTATCTTTAACGCTACTATTATAGAGCTTTTTTCCGACCGACGAAAGATGCAGATGAACTTTCCTCCCCCCCCCTCCCCCTCCCGTTCAAGTATTATTAATAACACCCTTCCGATCATCTTCCGGATGGATGATGAGTACCGACAGAACGCAAAATTGCTTTCTCCTCGTTTCATTGATAAATGATGTCGACAGACACTAATTGAGAGTGATCCGCATCTTTTGCTCTCTTCGCCGGTGGGAATCCCATAAATCACTGGCGCTGATTTAATTACGATCCGCGGAGCCACGCTATAATTACAGAAAAGCTTTACAATGATCGTAGATCATCGATCGATATCTGCACCTGTTTCATCTCCGCTTTGTAACGGCTTCCACGTTGTAGCCCCGTTGTTCATTGTGTTAATTATCTATCGCGCGTAAAACATTTTATAGGTCCTTAGTACAAATGATTGATCTACCTTGTACAATATTAAATTACAAAATCATTTGTCACGGTTAGATGATAATCCGATTGGCTGTTTTCAGCTTTCCGCATTCCAGACCGGAACTCGATTTTGTCGAATATGTATAATATATAATGATATATTTTTTTTAGGAGATTTATTTCGGATTTCAAATAAATTACATCTCTACCTATCCGAGTTTCTGTTCAAGCGTGCACGTTCCTATATAATTCCGTGATCCCGTGGGATCGGCGCGGTTCTCGCATAGCGAGTGAAAGGCGCGCTGAATTTTTTTTATCGTGTAGCGTGAATTTTTCGAGGTCGATCGCGAATTCGCCGCGAAGAAACGGGCGCGAGGCGAAATACGCGACGACGCGGGTGCGGCGGTTCTGTACTATCTATTTAATAGCATTAGACCGGCCAATTAGAATTTGCGGAAATGTCGGTGGAGCGAGGTCGAGAGATTTGATAGACGCGATCGGTAGCGCGAGAGATTTCGCTTTCGAAATTCGCACGAAGTACCCGCGGCTATTCCTCCTTTTTTCCTCTCTTTTTTTGCGCGAGCCTGCTTTCGCGTACAGCACACAAGTGTTACCCCGAGGCTCGCGGACTCGAGAGGAGCGAGGGTATCGGGCGAGCGGGACTTTATAAATTGTAGGCGGTGGCTGCGCCGCGATCTTATCCGCATCTCGATCGCGGCTGCCGATTCCCCGGTTGGCGGCGCGACAGCGCTCTCAAAGCCTGCGGCCGCATTATAAAATAAGAGGTAAAAAGAAAATTTGCCGCTGTCTCATCCACCGCAGCCGCGCGCCGGCCGCTCATCTCTGTGAGTCTCGGTCGAGGAATCGATAGAGCAGTCAACGGAGACGTGTCGGAAGGGGCGAGATATATTTATATCTAATGGTCGAAAGATGCGAGAATGTCGACGTGGTAATCTTACTCGGATTAAAAATTATGTCCTCACTGTCCCCAGCACTCGATATTCGTCTCATCAATCAGAAGGGGAGGGAAACACTTTTACACGGAGATATAATTCCCGCCTCTTCTATTACAACCCCGAACAACGTAAGATGAATCACGCGAATATCCTAAGAGCGGCGTGACTTCTTTCTTAATTAATTGCATTACGGCACGCGTAAGTCGGCTATTATCTCACCGCGAACGTGTAGGAGCGGAGAGAGAGAAGAGCTCGGAAACGGATAGGATAGAAAATAAAGGGAATCCTCGCGCGAGCAGCGCGGCGCGGCGCGGCGCGGCGATGCGGCGGTGCGCCTTCAACGAGCGTAGTTTATTAACTTGGCCACTTTTAATAGCGGCACAAAGCAATGCATCTCGGCGAGCGGGCACGCACGCACGCTTTAGAGGTACGACATTCGTGCGCAATAATCCACGTCGGACGACGCAAGGTTGCACGCTCCTCTATCTTTCTCTCTCTCTCTCCGCTCCCCCGTGCCGCGCCCGGAGGGAGAGACATAGCTTTAATTCAGAAATACCGCGCCCTTTCCCCTTCCCGCCGCGTCCCCTTCTCCCTTCTCCCCGCGCTGAACCGGCTTATACACCGCATTCCCGACGATCGTTCTTTATAACCGGGGATTAACAATGAAAAATGTTTCGTTCGTATACCGCGTATGAGAGAGCAAAAACAACGACGTTTCATTTTCGTTTCTTTCGCATCCACACGTCGTTTTCGTTTCCGTGAATCTCCCCGTGAGAAAACCGGTTAAATTCTATTTTTATACACGTACCTCGTCGCAAGGGAAACTGTGCAAAGACGATGTGAGGTATTTTTATCTGTATCGCATATATAAAAAAATGCACAAGATAAGAAGAAGCAATAAATGGATGTCAATGATCAAATATGTTTCTAAGTACGATGCGAATTAAAGTATAAATAGATTTAAAAAGTATTAAAAAATGGACATGGATAATTGGATAGCTAATATCTCGGTTGTAACTCGACTTTGACCGCCAATTCCGTTGGAAGTTTATCGTATTATTTTATAAAACAAATGAATAAAATTGTTCTAGCGATAAGAAATTGGATCCAGATTACATTTGAAAACGAGAACGTAGAGAAAGTCATACATATATTCTAATCAATGAAAGTTTTAAGTTTCTTTATCCATTTTGTTACCATTTTTTTGCTTGACTTTTAATCCTCGCTCGGATATGTACGAGTATTCGGAACGGAAGGAGGGTAGCAGAGTTCGGTTGAGTATTCCATGTCGAACAGGTGCATCCTCGACCTAAGAGACTTATGTATGCATTCTGCACACCTGGTTAGATACGTTATACACCAGGGACTATATCTATGAAGTCGAAATATAGCAATGGAGCCGTTGGCCAGCTTTGCATATATGATTACCGCGCTAGCAATATAACGACCGCCTCTTAAAACGAACGATGCATTGCATTTGCATTATCTCGGCATTGCATAATTTCGGCATTGAATAATTTGGCGCCGATTCGCACCCGCTATCGAATCTCTTTGTGAATCTGTTAAAAAATTACCTGCATGCGGAACGGTCTTGATAAAAGAGTGACTTGAAAAAAGAAGAGTTTTTTCGCTTTTTTGGGCTCTCGATTTTGGAACTGAACTGTATGCCAAATGGTACTTTATAATGAGCCATTAATCACAGAGAAGTGTTAGGTTGAGGTGACAAAAAATGGGTAATTTTTTGAGTCACTCTTTATTGATTTCCATGAAAATATTGTTTGCAAAATTGCAAGAATTGTGAGCTAATAAGTAACAGAGGAATGGCTGCGTTTATCATGTTATATTAATTTTTAACTGTGGATATGGAGTTTTTCGAATTCCTGTCATTTATTTCGTAATTTTAACTAATTTTTTAACTAATTTTAACTATTCTTTTTTCTAGGAAAATTAATAAAAATCTGTGCATAGTTAATAATAAAAAATAAAAAAGCAAGTACGTGTACAGAATGCAATCATTTTTTCCTCTTTTTTTTAAATATAAAAGTAGGACTTGCTAGGACTTTACATTCACTAGTTTGCATAGATTCATATCCACCGTTAAAGATTGAAGCGCGTAACGTGTATTTTAATCTAATCTCAATCTAATCTTAAACGCAAATTAAATCGATCGTTGAATTCAATCGATAACATTTTCTTTTAAAATACACATTCACTTAAATAATTCCGTTTTAATTCTGTACTAATTATATATATTAAGTCGATTATATCGATTAACGCCAGAAGTCTGAATTCTTGTTGTGTTTACAGGTACGCAGTGTCAAGACACCTCTCTCAGGAGCGACCACCGGTGTTTCACAACGTCCTACCGTGAGTACCGATTTACTTCCGACTTAGATAGAACTGAGACACGACTGTACTTTCGCGATTAATAAGGCAGATAGAGGAAAGTGAAGTAATTCAGCCGTTGTAGAAATACGTGACGGTTAAGCGTCAGCGTGTAGTTCCTGAACAGTACTGACTCGGTTAACATATTTCCGGGAACATTATTATCTAAGATCAATGTGTACCTATATATTTATTTGACCGCCGCTTTTTTACGCTACTTAGCGGCGAATCTAAGGTCGCAGAGGTGCAGAATTAATTCGCCTTGGAATTGATATGATCTTCTAAACGTACATAATAATTAGCGACAGTGATAAAAATTGGAGTTACGATATAACTGTTGGATAATTTAAAATGCACCGTAAATATACATATCGTACAACGAATACAAAATTGAACATGAATATTTTCTTATCCTTATATAATCCGTGTGTAATCATGATTTAATTCTTTAATTATCATGCAAGAAGAAAATAAATAATAAAACAACCGCAATAAGTTCGGACTTATTTTCTGACGTAAGAAATTTCATTTGCAATCTTTAAACTGTCAGTTTCATGACTTGCTTCGCATTCATTTAGTTTATTTCTCGGTGAACTCTTTTCTCGGTTTCTCTTGATTTCACGCGAGCTCCTCAAAGAAGCTCGAGTGAAAGGCATTGAGTATAATAATAAAATATTAAAAATATTTCGCATTTGCAATAGCCACAAAAATCACCCGATTACTGTGGCAATTGCAAATGGAATCTAAGATGCAGAAGAAAGATCGCATTAATCAGAGTCTATAAAGAAGCGTCTTAAATTAATACAGACTTGTATAGTTACTGTATTACGAAATGTAGAATTATACGAATCACTTATTCAAATTTCATCAAATGACGAAACTGTTTCTTCCGAAAAAAATGAACTGCAAATCAAAATAATTTATCTTGAAAATCCCAAATTTTATAAATTGGGATTCGAATAATTCATCCTAAATTTTTTTCATAACTCAGTTTAGTGAAGATCTAGTTACTATAAGTTTCTTTTTTCTTCAACGGAAATCGTAACTCCAGGGCCAATCGAGATAACAGACTACGAGAGTCTAGCGTGAGATTAAAATATGCGAATGCATGACTGTTGCATGCACGAGAGATTTTTGCACACGCGAGACAGTTGCACGAACGACGCTCCGGGCGTTAGTCTAATTTGAGGTGCGAGGTGACTACGTGATCTAGCGAGGCACGCGAGATCCTTCGCCGCGAAACTGCGCGGCAGCTCATTTAATCTTTCGTGTCTCGATTTTCGAGATCTTTTTTGTCCATTACATTCGCTCGAAATCGCAGACACGTACGTTATCTCGTGCAAACGTGAGCGTAATATATATTTTTCTCATATCACGTTGGGAAAACGTGTAACGACTGCCTTAGCACAAAAGAATTGGAAGAACTCGTAAAATGTGGACTGTTAGCGTTATTATCCGCAGCTCGTAATATTCCGTAAAGAGAAAAAAAAACACACACGGAATAATTCATAATTTAATAGAGGAGAAGATACAGTTAATCCCGAAGACCACAGACGGCACTACGCCGCGGCCGCGATTGTTTTTGCAATTCCCGTAACGTACGGGATCTTTCGACGCACGTCCTCGGATCTTTAGCGCGAACCATGTGTCTCGTTTTCGCAAGTTATTACAAGCTTACGAAAGACGGAGGTATCATTATGCTTTGCGCGCGTGCTGATGAGAACCGCGTCGCGCGTGTTCTTAATTCTCCTTTTAATTAGAGGATATAAATAAAAAATGAGTCTGGGCTGTCGCTAGCCTGCTTTATACTGTACAAACATGTTTATGTGAATCCTGTACTCACTCTTATTCCTATTATTCTCAAATTAGTCTCTTGCTTCCACTTTTTCTCAAACGCCTATTATTGCGAGATCACCTTACAAAAACGTGTGTAACATCAGAAATTAAAAAAATATATATACGCCGTTTCACGACTATTTTCGATCAATCAATTTTTAAATAATTGTATATTTAAATCATTAAAAAAAAATTGTTTTTGTAAGGTGTTCACAAAGTAGTGTATTGAGGTCGAATCCGTTCGCTATGCCCAAAATGACTGTGTGGATCAGTCGTCTCCCCTCGGGAGCACGCATATTTAAAACGAGAGGCGCGGCGATAGAATTCTACATCTTCCGCGAGTGCGTGGTGATGAGAGACCCGAGAGCGCGACTAGGTGATGCGAGATCAGGCGAAGCCGATAACATTGTTTCCCTTCGTTCGGCATTTTATTCACGCTGGCACACGGCCTTATTACACGCACGGCGCGATCGACGGCGCATTAGCATAAGGCCTCACGGTGCCGCCCGCGCGCTATCGATCCCCGCACTGGCCCTCGCGAGAGATTCTTCCGGAGTCTCCGCACATGAGAGAGGACGCGCCCCCGATAAGCTTCTGTCCGTATCCTCTCCGTGCGCTGTCCCGCTAAACTTCCAACCGTATCCCTTCCGCATCGATAATCGCCTAGAGAGCACCGCCGAAATATCGGAGATTATGGCATATTGCCCGCCGCTTGTTCGAAAATTTCATCGAGAGCGTATTTCAACGTCGCTCATCGAAAATGTAAAATATCTGTAAGATACGTTAATTTCAAACTACCCTATTTCATTTATTAGTATTACAACACATATATTTGTACATACACGCATATGAATTTAATTTTTCAAAATTTAAGGGCTTTAAATTTAAAAGCTGCAATATAATATTGATATAAGCTTTGGATTACGACCAGTTTGAAAAAAATGAGTGCAGTTAATTGCAAAGTCTCATCTAATAATATTTATATTTATATTTATATTTTGTTAAATATTTTACTCGGGTTTAAATTTTGTTATTTATTACGAAGAACATAAGAAGTCATTTGTCATCATTTCTCTACGCTAGAACGAGTTGCGTAATCCGCAATGAAGTCGCGAGTACATGACGAAAAGTGTCTCATGCTTCACGATGTTTTAGCAAGGAAGCTACTGTTAGCTACTAAGGTTCATTATAAACGGTGGCAGTTAAGAGCATGGCTTATGAATATGATGATCTCTGACGAATCGCGAACAGATCTCATCAGACACGGTTGATTACGCGCAAATCTCTTCACGATCTTATAATTTACGATCTGCCTAATTATATGCACATTCTAATTGAAATATTAATAATATTGCGGTTAATTATTGTGATCTTTTCTTTTCGCAGGCAAGAATAATGAACCGTTGGTTTTGGTGTTTGCTATGCGTGATTTTACATCTCAGGCACGCCCATTCTAAAGTCGGTAAGTAATCATCACTCACTTCTCTTGCCGTTATCAAAAACATTTTTTCAATTCTTTGCAATCCAAGTTGTTACTCGCAAATGAACGAAGATCAAGTTTTTCGTTCTCAATTTTGTCTAATCGGTCTAACATGAATTAACAAATTTTATTACTTAAAGAATTTTTCAATGAATTTGGCTTTTTTTAGAAAGTTATAGAAATAATTAAGTAATTAAGTAAACCAAATATATAGTTTGCCGATTTTTATAATCAAATGCTTGATGAATTATGCGTTAAGCTATTTCAAAGCATTCAGCGACTCACGTAAGATGAATAATTGACTATGATTGGTTGCAGTTTTCTTAAAACTTATAAAATCTTAAGTCTTATTGTAGACGACGCTTAGTCGAGCCCGCAATGTAGGACCGCAAAGGGTTAATGACGTAACTGAGAATAGCTTGAAAAAATTCTCACAAATACGTCCGGTCGAAACGTTCCCTCGGTTGGGCGGAATAAAATGAAGTAACGGCTCGCGCGTAAAAGTCAATCACGCTCGGACCGTGTGGCTTCCCACATGCGTAAATCTATCTCAGCTGATTGCCAATTACTTATGTCACGGTTGATGGTGTAAGCTCTGTTTTATCGGTGTCGCCGGGCATAAACGCGCCGCGCGCGGCGGATCGACGGCACGTGCGGAGGTGTGAGTTCTACCCCGTTGGTTTTTACTGTCGTATAACACCGCGGAGCGATCTGCATCACGTATAATATCGATACGTCGAATCGCGAACTCGCATTATTCATCGAGCGAGACGGCGTCTGATTTATCACCGTTATGTAATTAAGCTTTAATAATCCGCGCAACTCTCATTTTGCGAGCAGACTTTCCTTCTTTTTTTTCTTTTTATACGTTACGATCGTAAAAGAAGAATATTAAATGCAAGCTTTACGCAGGATTCATGAAGAATCAATAAACGGTGTGAGCCGTGGCGAACGCAACGAACGGCTACGTATATGCAAATGGAGAGATGGTGTACACGAGAGAGAGAGAGAGAGAGAGAGAGAGAGAGAGAGAGAGAGAGAGAGAGAGAGAGAAAGAATGGTGTGCAGACGGCTCAGACGGGATAAAACGTACAGTACATTCCGACGCGATAATTCGCGTTGCCTACAGACAAGAGATATAGGCGCGGTTCTCTCGCGGCATTATAAAGCAACGGTTTAACGTGAGCTGAAGAAACGTGAATCATCACGGGCCGAACGTGGTATTTTACGCGCGTTTAGTAACATGTAAGCTGCTAATTAGCCAACGTCTGCTTCCTGCATTGTCCTGTATGAGCGATAGATCTGGTTCGACTAACAGATCCATTTTCTCTAACTATGGTTTCTTACATCATCTGTGTAAAATGTAATGGTCGTGTACCAGCGCTTTAAATATCCTCAATAGGAGTACAATTTTCTCATCTTTTTTCAGACATTACATTTTATCGATCTATATCAATGCGAACCAGCTGTTCACTTCCATTTTAGTTTACACGTTACAGATTGTCTCCCCTTACGTAAGGCGATATACCCATACGGGCCTCGCGGAAATCCAGATGGTGCGAAACTTTTTCCAATACGTGCGCACATAACGAGGTACAATTTTCTCGGTAATAGATTTGACGTTGAAAAAGAAGAAAAAATTCCCCGTCGGAGTGGTACCGCCTGTGACTTTTAGTATTGATTCCCACGACATCGAAATTGATCGTACATAGCTGCTTTATGGCAAATTATCGTTAATGACAGATTCCAAGATGCTTCAATTTCAAACGCGTTATACGATCATGTAATTTAAGCAATTATCAGAAATTGTGATAAAAAAACGCGTTAAATTCAGCTCCGACGATAAACATCTGCTAAGAAAATACTACTGACAAATCATATGAGATCATGAATTACGGCGAAGGTGATTTTTTTTTACGATTGTATGTCGATCAATGGATTATTTAGAATCTTCGTAGAACGTTGCTTGGATACATTGTTCGCGTTCGCGCGCAGATGCGAAATATGGGTCGCAATCGACACGACGTCTTTCGTTCTCTTGCAGTATGCACTTTCTAATGCCGCGATCACTTTCTATGCGGGAAGAAATGATCGGGGTTCGCCGGTAGTGGCCCGCCTGTCACGAAAGATTTATGCGGGGGGACTTTACGAGGGCTCGGCAGGGAACGTTGCACGTGACTGGCCGGACGATGACGAATGCTTGTGTGTAAATTGCACGATTTCGCAATGTGACGAATGACGATATGCGAGAACGTGCGATATTGAGCGAATAGATCGTGTGAACTGTATTATCTATCCAAACTCGGGATTTTAATTGATTACGTATGTTGATTAATTGCAAATACTATAGATGCTATCTCGTAGGCAAATACCATGAAATAAAGACTGATATAAATACTATTTTAATGATAAAGTCAATTTATCTATTAAATATAAATGGTTAGACCAAAAGATTAAGGCGTAAAATTGGCACTTTAATTCATATTATACTTATGTAAATTAAACGATTATCTGAATAATATATTGCTTTTGTAATGCAACTCTTAAAGAAATTGTTATAACGTAATGTCGTTCTTTCGTCGTTCATTTAGCTAAACTGCCGTGACAAGGATATTAAGTCGGGAAAGAGCGCGAGGTGCGTTTAAAACGTGAGACTATCATGTTATGCTGCAAATCAGTTTGCATCGTAACGAACCCACGTGTATTCATCAGTAATGGCAGCATGTCAGTAATTAGGCTCTCGTGTTCGTTAACGTGCAATCCGATTAATTCATCCGGTTTGCAAGGCCCCCGCGACAAAAATCGGTCGTCGACCGGTCCCTTTCGTAACAGCTGGCATACTCGTCGTGGAATCTTCTCCTCCTGACGCGAGCGTTTTGCGCGTCACGTTTCCGGTCAATGCCGATTTCTCGCACCTGTTTGAGAAAGAAAGAAATAGAGAGAGAGAGAGAGAGAGAGAGAGAGAGAGAGAGAGAGAGAGAGCGGGCGTGTTGGCGAGCACTAAGAATTAATGACACGCGAAAATTGCGCATCAGTTGCATACTGATCTCGATAGGGTGTCATAATTGCAAGCGTACGGGCGGGAAGTAACTTTATCTGTGAGTGAAGTCTACTCTAAATTTTCAAGAAATCCTCGGAGGGAGAGGGCGATATTTCTTGAATTTTAATTAGACGTTGCTTTCTTTATGTTTCTTATCTTTTAACATTAAATATGTCTTACCAAATTAAATGTCGTATTGTGTGTGCAATTTTGTATAATTAAAATTTACTGGAATATATTAACTGAAGAACAAGCATCTATTTTCTATTTGCACCTGCAAGCGTAGTAGGCAAGTTTGTTGTACAAGCGGCAATCATTTACTTCACGCCTTTTTATCGCAGTTAGTTTTACCAGCACATGAACGAAATTAGAGCATTCGCACACGAGCTACTCGTACACGCCACGGGAAGCGATATAGCATTTCTATCGTAGAAATATAGTCGTAACGGTTCGCTTTATCGCTCGGCTGATTGCCCTTACTAGTTGAATGAACTATAAATGCTTCAAAGTCCGACATCGTGAAAAACAGAGTTTATATTTGCTATATAGATAATCGTGCGCGAGTAATTACAAGTAATAGATGTTATTAGAGCTATTATTAACTTAGAACGACAGGTCATCGTGTCTCAGTCACACGCACGTACACACTTTTTTATTTATATGTTTGTATTACGACTTTGTATAAATCTTTTTTCTAATCGTCATAAAGTAAAATAAATATCGCACATAAATATCGTACACATAAATGTAATAAAGGACATTGATAAACGGTAATAATATATGACGGTTAAATCTTTTAGAGATCTTCTATAAATTAATGTTATATTATATATTATAACGAAAATTATAATTTTACGTTAAAATTACAAGATATTAAAAATATTCTTTTTCTTTGCCAATATTATTTAAATTAAAATTAATTAATTAAAATTTTACTGTAGCGAATATAAAATGATTGAAGGCTAATTGACGTTTGGTTCATTTTTTAATTTAAGCATCGTTATATTATAAATGAACTAACATTGATCTCTCTAATCTTTCGATGTTTTACATTTCAGGTTTATGCGAAGTGGAAGGAGGACAATCGAACATCATCCTCGATATCGAAGAGAGCGGAGGAGATGGTAAGTGCGATGTGTTCAATTATTTAAATTTATCGTACTATCTGAATATTATTAAATTCGTATATGTCTCTCTTTAAAAGCGTTGATTTTTAGACAAACGCAAATTTAATATTTTACAACTGAGAAACAAAGGCCACTGTGTCACAGATATACTTGCATATACTCATAACTCTGATCTCGTTACTTTTTATGTCTCTCTATTACTATTTTATCATTTTGTTTCACATAATTATTCAGTAAAATTTTATATCACTTATTCTATAAATATAAAATGATAAATTTATTATTTTTTATTGCGGGGAAAGTTTCGTACTGATTTCTATACTCAACGTGTGCGAACAACGTCTGTTATTCTCCTACTTGTACCGTTATACTTTTCCACATCGCGAACTGTGCCTAACTAATAAATTTATTCGATCTCAGACTTGATCCACATTCATCGTGTTTAACACGGTTTTGCATTAATAAGTTTTCGCATTTACATTCGCAAACGAATTATTCTCTGAATTAACGGATTCGATTTCATGTATCGACTGATACAATCCCCGCGAAATCATTCAATTACGCGAAAATTACGTTTAGCGGATCGATTGAATTAATCGACAACTAACGAAATTCAGCTGAATTAACGTGTCAACTCCTGGTATTCTCGAAATCATCTTGTAGTGCTGAACTACTACGTCGCTTTCTCTGCCGTATGCATAATGCACGACGACTTTATCACCGTCTCTATTTTGTCAGAGAAATGGCTTCGTTACTCTATACTAAACGAATGAATAATAATCCATCGCGCATAATGCATTAAGTCTCGAAATGATTGTCATTCCGCAAAAAGAGATTAGAGGAAATAGAAATGGATCGAATTCTTAATCTTCATCCATCACTCAGAGATTTATTGCATTCATATCAGTTAATTCAAACTATTCCTTAAAAGCCGCTAATGCAATTCCGACTGCTTTTGACAGTTTTCAGTATACATAATTAAAAATAAGAGATGCCATAAAATTTTTGAATATATTAAAATTGAGAGAGAAGCGAATTTAATTTAATAAGGAAATCTCCGAAACTCGAAATAGTATAAAAAGCTGCGTGTTAAATTCGTTTTAAAGGACGATGTCTGACAGTGTAGTAATAGAAAGCTTAATTAGTTTTTGGTAAAAAAAAAGTAATTACAACGATAGAGAATGATGACTTAAATTAGAGAAAAGGAATATTCGAGAAATGTGTGTGTAACAGTCAATACGTTGCAATTAAATTGCATTGGCTTTCATTAATGAGATACTGCCCGAGATCGACATCGGGCCGCCGAGATAGCATTCATTACGTAGAATGGAAGATGGGTTGATCTCCGCTCCGAGAGAGGAAGTCGTGTTATAACAAATAATAAAACAATTTCCTCGAAATGGCTATTCCTATCATTATTGTATTTCATGATACTGACAATTGATGACTTCTTTTGTATTTCTTTTTTTCCGATAAAACACATTAATTGAAAATTTTAATTCTCGCTCCCTTTGATAATTTTACTGCATCGTCCATTTAGAAATTGCAATTTTTCATCGTCCGTAAAATGTATTATTGTTTATTTGATATATCAGACAAACGCCGACCGGCACGGAGTATATCGCCATGCTGGAGTTTCGTATATTTCCAGTTTATTGAAAATTCTATTTACGCTGTCCCAGATATAAAATAAATCGACGTGCACGACGGTAATCGCATCTCCGCCGGCTATCCTTTTTTTTCCAGCGATCGATCAGAAGACCGTGCCGGAAGAGCTTCCGGTGTCCGGCGATCCCTATAACGAGACCATGCTGGAGCTTATCTTCCCTGGAAGGAAGATCCCCCTTTTTAAACTGAACGGCAAAAAACTGCAGCTTCTCGAGCCGTTGGACAGAGATGACGAAAATCTCTCGCATGTGGTTTTTCAGGTAAGACAGTCTTAATCTCGCAAGATTACGAGAGCCTGCTTGATTTATTTAATTTCTTAAGAGAGAACTCGCTGTAACAGTGGACTAACGTTGCGGTTTACGTAGGCTCAAAAGGCTCAAAAGGCTCAAAAGAGGAACAGATGTACTACATATATTAAAAAAATTGTTGTACGCATTATTATAACGATAGCGCTACATTCTCTCTATGCATATCTTCTTAGACTCCAATTCTCGAAAATTGAAATCACTTTTCAGCCCAGATTTAAATTGTATGATGTACTTTATTACTGCATTTGTACAGTCGGACCTCGATAACTCGATCTCAAGAGAAGAGCTAAAATCTTCGAGTTGTAGAGTTTTCGACTTATCGAAATTCCAGTAAAAAAGAGTTATGACAAATAAGTTCGAGATAAAGTAGGTTTTATTTCGATTTATACAGATTTTTTGCATCTTATAGTTTTCAAATTATAGAAGTTCGAGTTATCGAGGTTTGATTGTATATTTATGCTCTAGTATACAATTTTTGGGCGTGTCTTGCCTGTGCAAAACGGCATTAATTCATTTTTGGCAAATTTGCTTTTGAGAAATTCAACAAGAGTGCGTCGTGCGAATGTCGAAAGTTCAGATAAAGGCTTGCAGTACTGCTATACACTATCAGTTTTTCTTCCTAACGCGTCCGTCCGAGAAAGTTTACGAGCGACGCATCGACGCAACGTGAACTATGAAACATCATTTAACCGCTTTCTATCGATAAAGGTTCACCCGGGGACCACTGCGCGACAAATTGCCACTTTGATAAAAATCATTGGCGACGGGAAATCCCGGGTAATAAATAACGAAGATGCGCGAAAAGAGAAACTTGTCATGCGCGCGAAAACTTCAGCCTCCTGGTGCCTGATTTGCGCTTTCCGATTATTATTATCCTTCGCTTCGAGAGCCTTCGTTTCTTCCTCGATCGAAATTTTCACCGTCCTCAATATCGTCAATTAGATATCGCGAGAGAATGCAGGTGGAAATATCGGGTGAACGAAGTGCTCCCATTATTGAGACTTTCGAACGAACGAACAAAGGATAATATGTAATAACGGAAGGATGAAAATAATGCAAAGATAGAGGCGAACCTCTCACAGAGGAAGCTGTATCATCATCGTCCCTCTCTCGGCTCAACTACAAATATTAAAAGATAAGCGAATAATAGCTTTCACTAGCGAGGTGTCAATATTCCTTGAGTTATAGTCCTCGCGGCTGCGATAAAAAAAAAATCGTATTGTTCGGTTCCTTTCAAGTGAATTTTTCCTTCTTGTACCGATCATTAAATGTCTAAACGTCTAATTCATGTCGCGCGGGTATCTGGCGCTTTTAAGACGATGCCGTTGCTTTTTTCCTGCACGCAAAAAACTTCCTCCGCTTCTCGGAAGAGGATCTCTTGTCCGCCTGTAAAATGTTTTATTATTTTCTTCGCCGTCAACGAGCTGCAAACTCACCGCGGAAAGCGGAAGCTGCCAGCTTGTCGAGAACACTCGAAGGAAGTTACAAAATCTACAACGGCTTTCTGCATCAATTGTCAAACCGCGCGGCAGTAAATACAGTTTTATTTTTAAATAAAATTCAAATAAGAAGTAAGGTAACTTCTAAAGAAATTACGTTAATTATTTACGAAACATTTTCTCTCATAAATTATAATGGTGGTTGCGAATATATTTACGCGGAATACATTTTTGCTTTTTTCTTTTTTGAAATAAAGAACCAGTTAATTTCTTTTAAAAATAGAATTAAACCGCATTAAATTATAAATATATTTTGAAGAGGGGAGAATTCTTATAGATGCATATTTTAGCATCAAAAGATATTAAATTGCTCGTTACAAGTGGATTCCAGCCTCGTATAAGAATTGTGTTCAAGACTGACAAAAATGCGGTGTTTATATGTGGTTGAATATTGTAACTATAGAAATTATTACACATACCAACATTTGTTTGTCGACTCGCATAGGCATTACTTCACGATATTTGATTTATTCTTGGTAGCCTAATTCTTTCAATTTAAATTTATATAAATATTTTTTGTTAGTTTATATAGTCCTTAAATTATGCGAAATTAATTTGCTCGCTGATTACGCTTGAGACTCGAAGACGCCGTTCTCTCCGCCGACTCGTTACGGCATCCGCGAAACTGTGCATACACATTGTGCCTTATGACACTATCGTGTGAGGAATGTGAAAGGTCTGGAGTACCGCATCGAACACTTCAAGAGCCTGTGCTGATCGAACGAGTGGATAAGATCTAATGAGACCGAGAAATGCAGATAGTTGTAGAGATAGGTTCGATCGAAGCAGAAATGCGGGGCGCATTTCGATTAATTTATAGAAACCTAATATGCGGATGGTAAATTAAATCGATCAAAATAAATTAATCCGAGCGAGATCAATTGATTATTATTTCACTCGAAGAATGCCGTTCGCTTCAGAGGCAGCTTTTCACACACTCTATCGCTCTTAATTAAATATTGGCGTTTAACATAATATAAAGTTACATAGTTCGTGATTTGTAGAAATTTTATAAGCATACAATAATCATCTTACTTTATTGCGGCAACATTTTGTAATGTGCACTGTTAAAAATATATAATAAAATTTAATGTTATAAGTTACACAAGTATTATACATTAAATTTCATGACATTTTTAACAGTGTACATTATTTAAATTCTTTAATATCTTTTATTAAAATTCTCGTTATCGAGTCCTCCTTTAATGACAGTTGACGGCGTTTAGCGACAGTTAAAGGAGCGACCAGGAGCCAAATTTTTATGTTCATTCTTTGATACAAAATACTCATTCGTTTTTTCAGTTGAGCTGCACGGTGAAGTCGACCAACAAGAAGCGGACGATCCCGGTGATAGTGAGAGTGTCCGACATCAACGATAACGCGCCGAAATTCATTAACACGCCGTACGAGACGACTGTGCCGGAGGTAAGATACTGGAGGAGCTTCCTTCTCTTAAATGAAAAGCTGCTTTTTATTTTTATCTCGTAATCGAATATATACTTGCGCAGCTGTAAAAATACCGCTCGATCATCTTCCAAGTCGCGTAATCAGCTTCAATCGATAGTTCCTCTGTCGTTCCTTGACGCCTACGGTGAATCGAATGGAGAGATCGGGGATGGGCGGAGAAAATTGCGTTTTGTATTAAGGAAATAATAGAACGTCAAGCGTGAAAATGCGGGCATAACACGGTAATTCACGGTACGCGCGCGCCGCGCTAGAGTAAATTTATACCCGTAATGAGTCGCGCTACGTTGTACGTGCGCGCGGCGTTGGATATGCACGCGCGCAGCTGGAAATTCATACACTTATAATGAGCTGCGTGTTGTATAATTATGCGTCTAAATATGACGGACGGATAAGAGAACTTGCGGTTAACGCTGTGCGAAAGTTCGATAATTATATTCCGGCCAGCTGAGCGTTAATTGAGTAGAACTGCGCGGAAAATAAAGAGGAGCGTTGCTATATGCTCCGGAATCTCGAGAGATTGCACGCGTCGAAAAATAATAACGCTCGCCGCGGCGAGAAGTTTAGAATCGCGCGGCAATAACATCGGGACAATCATTTTTGCAATCACGAATACGCGCGGCCGTGTCATCGGTTCCTTCACTCGAGTCGCTCCGCGCCGGACTTTTGTCGCTGGACGTTTTCCATCGCGTGCATGACGGAATTTTTACGGAAATTAAAAGTGTGTCGAATGCGAGTCATCGACGCGAGGTGGCGGATGCTCTATTATATCCCGTCGAGTCAGCGCGCGTCTTCGAAGAAAGTGGATTCGTCACGTCGCTAAGTGGACGGAAACTCTTTCCAAGATGGAGGGAATAGGCACGCAGGGAATACCGTCGACGAGATCGACGGTCGTTGATCGAACGGCGATGACAGTCTTTCTCTTCTTTCGCGCATCCGCGATCCGTTATGCCGGGAATGACGAGCACATTGGTACCGGGCATTTCGCCTGGCGTATTGAATAGATCTGAAAGCATAATTGAATTGCGAGAGGAATAAATCGTGAGAAATCCTCCAAAACTTAAATTTTTCGTGTGTAGCCTTCTTTGATTCTCACCGTCCCGATCTTTTGAAATTGCTTTTTGTAATTGCTAGATATTTCACAATAGAATTATAGCTAAACGTCATTTGATTCTAGCAGCAAATATTTTTTGCTGTAAATTTTAACAACTAATAAGTTGAACTTTAGTAATAACGATATTAACTTAACTGTCCTTATTTTAAAGCTCATTTTAGCTTCTACGGCTATAGTTTAGCTGCGCTGACTAATCCTTTCTTTGCGTGTAGTTAGTTCTTACCGTGGAAACTGGCGAAATATATGTTTGGCGAGAGTACAACCTTTGCTCCACCTGCTGTGCATAATTGCGGAATTGCGGGAGTTCCTCGAGATCGAGATCGAGATCGTCGACTTGCGCTTGAGCTAATTAATTCGCAGGGGCAACCGCGGTACTGTCGCGAGAACACGCGGGAGCACGAGCGAGAACAAGCGGTGATAATCGCCTCTCGGAATAATATAACGAAAATGACTGCGCGAGCGGCCGGAAACGCGTCCACCTTCGCTTTCTTACCACCGCTCGTTTAGCGCCGTCAAAAAGCTCGTGGAAATTAGCCGCGTCGCTAAGTAAATGAGAGGCGATGAGTTCCACGCAGTCGTAACCAGAACTATTCTGCCTGAATCGTTTTCCGTGGGAACGTCATTACGGTTGCGGCTTATTTTTAATCCTGAGGACATGCTAATTAACTCTCCTCACTGGCTCTTAAGTAGCTCTATCGTGAACATGTACCGTTTACTGTCGTTACGTTCAATTCTTACGTTCGCTGCAGTTAAAGCCAGAGACGTTGAGTCGTTTTTTTAACAACTTGTATTATGAGAGAAAGCCACTTTTATCGTTACGTTTATTACGGCGTGTGGATTCCGTAGCTATTTTTTTTTTATCGTAGCCGTAGGCGATTTCTACCCATACAGAACTTCGAAGCAGACACGCGGATTGAAGCGGAGCACGGTATTTTGAGGAAGGTATATAACCCGATCCCGTTAGATAAGCGAAGGTGCAGCGAGTATCGGGCGCGTAGCAACCGAGGCGAAGTGCCGATCGCGCGGCCCGCCGGTGAACGAGAATATATACGTTTCGTTCGCGCCGCACGGTAGTCGCGTCTTATCTCCGCGGATTAATCGAAAACGCACGCGGCGAAAGCCGCGTGCAAAAAGCCGGTTGAATTATTTTCGCGTAATCCTCAACGAGGTCTCGCCCCGCATCCTCGTAGATTCTCTCCCGCGCGCGCGGACAACCTGCTCGGCCTGTTCCATGACTCGGCGTGTTCCCGGTCGAATTATTAATCCCGACGACCGAGGTTCGCGTCTGACCCCGCCGGCCTTCAATTAACCAGCTGATCCTCCGTTCTCTCTTCCTTCCCTCCCCCCCTCCACGCTTCTGAAACCCTGCAAAGCGCGCCACATAAATTTAATCCCGCTCGATTTCGCGGCGGAATATACATATATCGTCCTGCGATTTCTCATCGCAGCTGGAGGCGCGGAAGGGAAGCCACAATCTCCACCTAGCCTAGATACGCATCTCCTCTTCGCGAGAAAGACGCGAGATGAATTATCGTATTGAAAATAATAATCTCCACGTGCCACACGTTAAGTTTGTTCTCGTTCTTGCAGCTCACCCCGGTCGGCTCGACGATTTTCAAGAGTGTCGACGCGATCGACGACGACGCCGGTGTCAACGGCATCGTCGAGTACTCGATCGCGCCCGGCGACGGCAGCAGGATCGGCAGCAACGAGGGCGTCGGGCGCAACAGGATCACCACCGTCGACGGGTACGGCTACTTCAGCATCAATCTGCCGCATCAGGGACAGGTCACGGTCAATCGAACGCTCGATTACGAGAGGACTCAGCGTTATCTCGTCACCATCCTGGCATCGGTGAGTCTCTCTCGATCTTGCGCTAATCATGTTAATTGATCGCAAGCCGTTGGAATTGTGAGTGAGTTCAAGTAGATCGGCGATACAGGCGTTGAGATAAAGACGCAGATCTACCGAGACTTAATTAACGCAACGGTTCTGCGGGTCGAAGGATGAATGCAGGATCAGCAGCTTCCTACATGTTAATATCGTCTGATGAATAGAAAAAAAAATTGATAATTAGAAAATAATTTGAAAGATTATCTCGGAACAAAAGGGTTTGCATAGAAATAGTGTTATAATTTATTAGAGGTAATTATATAATTTATCTTTATCTGATAAATTTTTTTTCTACGCAAAGCAAAAAAGTAAAAAGCAAAAGAATTTTTTTGTTAGCTAGAAAGCTTTCTAGCCTGTCATTCTAATTTTTTGACGTATCTTGTAAATTTTTGAATACCTAGTAAACTGTCGGCCATGTTGCCGTACGTATACCGTTGCAATACGTACCTGTCGGGTATGATAATCGAGCATAATGAGCTCGGACAACGATATGTTGCGATTGCGCTGCGCGACATCGAGCTGAAAACCCGTACGACAGCAGTGGAAAATGCTCGCACGAATAACGAGGAAGTAACGGTAATCATCTAACGATCTGCGCATACCTAGTAAATTATTGTGTCGTCCTTTTAAGATCGAGTTCTCGATTTGACAAACATTGACGCAACGGACGGAATAGTGCAGGATTTTACGCGGGGAATAATAAATGAAAAGTGAATGAAAAATAAGCCGAGCAATTTTCTTAATACGATCCGCATTGCAAGAAAATTGCTCTTGTTACCAAAATTGTTACCACAATTTTGCAAAGAACGGAGTCCGACAAACGTATAATGTTAAGATATCTTACGGTTAATTACGGTAATTCCTTTTTTAAAGAGAAATCTCTACTGCAAATTGATCCGTAGATAAGACAGAGCTCTTTGGTATTGTCCAAGAACTTCGGTGTACATACACGGTATGTGTCATCCACGTGGTATTTACGTTACGTAACGTTCATACACCTGTTGCGAGCGATTCTCGATGTTGTGCTGCTTTTATTCGGTCGTTGTTGGCGCGCGCACGGCCAACACGCGCGCGTATAATAAGCACACTCTGCAACAACGATCTGGAGTAATTTTTAGCGCCGCCGTTGAATCTCGGATCGCGGGGAGGCATCGATTTTTTTTACGTAAACCACCTTGTTCATGCAGTCGTGGCCTGCGATCGAAACGTGCGCGCGCATGCTGGCGTGAGTTAATCGGTTTATAAATGCGCGTGTTTCCTTAATTTAATACGCCACGAATGGTACGAGGCGAATCGACGGGAGGATGTGGGATGGTCAATGGTCAGGTCGTGTGGGTCGAGGGATGAGGACAGAGCGGGAGAGAGTCTGACCGATGAGTCACACCAACGCTGACTGTACCCGCGCGCGACGATCGGAAAACCATATTTGCATTAGCATATCGCGCTTCTCCTTCACGCAACTTCTCGTTTCCTCGAGAGTGCTATTAGTCCGGATCTCGAGGGCCCTCTCGAATCCGAAACGTAATCGGGACGCGCCTTTCACGATATTCCTTCACACGAGCTCCCTCTCCCTCTCTCTTTTATCTTTGCCGGGTCGAGTTTGTCTCAGGTTATAGAACGTCCTCTAAGAAGGCACCAAACAATTTAGAGACATACTAGCTATCTGACCAAACCGTGATTCCTTTCTCGGAGAAAATATTGTAAAGTAGAATATGGAAAGATTTAACGGCCAAGAAATTAGCAGTTAAAGATATATAAATAAAGGAATATCTTTTAATGTCAGATCATAAAATTATAAAAACGTTTCGTACTTCACAGAATCTTCATCAGTTTATAAAAAATAAATATAACATTAGAATTAAATAAGAGAATAATGTCATATTAAAGTCTAACAGTAAAATGCCGAATATAAGAAGGAAAAGGAAAACCGAACATTTTTCCTTCTTATATTCGATATTTTACTGTTGAACTTTAATATGATATTATTCTCTTATTTAATTCTAATGTTTAATTGATTTATAATGAACTGATGAAGACTGTGTGAAGTGTGAAACGTTTTTATAATTTTATGATATGACATTAAAGAATATTATTTTATTTATTTATTTATTTATCTTTAATTGCTCGTTTCTTGACCGTTAAACCTTTTTTTGTAATACACGAGCTTGATTTTAATTTTTATATTGTAAAGTATAGTCGTACATTCGTGATTTTCTTATAATCTTCAATATTAGAAGAGCAATCGTGTATCTGTGTACAGATTTTGAATTGACTCCGTAAAATTTGTCGAGAAAATATTTAAAAAAACGTACGAAAATTACATAAGAATTTATTTCACTGATCAAAGCGGCGCCATACATATACGCGGCACAATTTCAGCTACCCCGATTTACGAGAAATAAGGTCGAAGAATGCAACATATTATGGGAGGTATGGGAAGCGACATAACATTAAAGCAATGTTCCTGAATTCCTTCATTTGTATTACCGCTGAGGGGATATCTCAGCGGTAATTCACACGCGCTAACGTACCGCAATAATTCCGAGAGAAGTCCAACACTCGCGCGAACGCGCGCGCGTGCATAATTATATGCGTGGCGCGATGAACGTGCCCGTGCACGCTTCGTTACGTGCGCACACGATTCCTACGTACGAAACACGTCCCGCGTGCTCTGTCGCAGATTAGAAACTGATATACGTACAGGCCTGCAGGCGCGCATTCGCTAAACGGTATTACAGCCCGGCGGCAACGGCACCACACGCTGGCCAGGTATGGATGCGGCGTGTACGACCTTTTTCACGTCTAATGATTTTAATGGTACTAATCGATTCTGCGGTTTCGCACAAGTGCGCAAACGGCGCGAACGACGGACAAGTCGTTAATTACTGTTACGCGCCCGGCTTAGATAATCCAACGTCTAAATAATTAATTACTCCTATCAATCGCGTATTTAGAAGCGTGCTGTGCCGAGGTATTTCAAGCGTTCATAAAGCTACATGAATATTGCAGATAAACAAGGAAAATGTGCGGCTTATGATCCTCCATGTGGTGTTTCACGTTTTATCACTCCTTTTTGTACCTGTCGGACTATCACCGATTTAAAATCAATCTTTTCTCCTGGTAAAAATGTGTGCCAAGAAAAATTCATTAAATTACATAGAAAGAACAACTTTGCTATAGAAGGTCTAAAAATTTTGCTGGATACAAATCTGAAAATAATTGTGTTGGAAACTCAAAAATGATAAGCATTGCTGTAAAACGTTTTGATATTCTACGAGTAGTTTGAATTTCCAATAAAATTACATTATTAATAGTTTAACAAAATTATTTTCAGATCTGTATCCAGCAAACTTTTTAGACCTTAGAGCAAAAAATCATTTTTTCTGTGTAAAACAAAAGTCAAATTTAATTAAAAAGTATAGAGCTCAGTACAAAATAAATCAGATAATGGAAATTGCCAATATGAGTCGATACAGGATTTTAATGTGTACATGGAAAGAACGATTTTTTGTTGAAAGATCTAAAAATTTTACTAAAAACAGATCTGAAAATAATTTTTTGTTAAATCATTAAAATAATTTGTTGGAATGTTAAAACTGATAAATATTGCTATAAAACGTTTTGATATTCTAGCAATCATTTTGACTTTCGCACAAAATTATTTTCAAATCTGGATTCAGCAAAATTGTTCTTTCCGTATATAAGTGTATATTATAACAAATAGATACAAAAATTATAAACGTTTCGACCCGGCTTTGAGTCTTCTTCAGTATATAGTCAATACATTAGAATCGCAGAAATAAAATTTTTGCCAGAGTAAAAATGTGGAACAGAAATCAGTAATCAAGTTGTATATTTTCAAATTACAAGACAAAAATAAATAACGATTTCTTGTTTTTCATTTGATAAAATGTTTGTGGATGAAAATTGTATTTAAATAAATTGAAATTGCATTTAAATTAATTGGAGAATCCACGGATGAAAAATAAATGCAGGAAAGTGCCTTCAGCATATTCTGCATGATGACTGTCCAATACACTAGTTGTGCACTAGCGATTCACGAGCAGAACCAGAGTAAAGGTAGTTTGCAGATAACAACTCGACTATGGAGTATGGAGAGGAGTTGCGATATTTCCGATGCGAAGTTTTCGCGCAATCTCGCGCAGTCGGAGCAAATTCATCGAGCAAATACACCGGCGAAATATAGGGAAAGGATCGCGTGTAACGGTAACACCGGTGCGGAACTAACACAATCTTTCTGTTTGATACCACACACAACGCGTGCGGTATCGTTCGCGGTACCGTAAGGCATTAACCGTTGGGCCCGCCAGATTAGAGGCCACCGATTGCTCGTTGCCGTTCGCTTGTAGCTATTTGCATATCGCCCCTGCCGAAGCCTCCTCCCCCCGCTTCGCGACATTGTTCGCCTGCACAGGTACACGCGGGGCCGCTACTGCCGGATTAGAGCTCGCAAATTGTGAGTCTCGTGTCCGGATCACGAGGCGATCGATATCGCGACACTTATCGGCCGTGTATACGCAACCGAGTAACTTTCCGCTGGCGAGAATCACAGGTTACAGCATCCTCGCGGAGGAATCGCAGCATGACCCGGCTCGCTTTTAAAGACTCACGCTCACTCATCAGATATACCGATGATTACGGTGTTTCCTAATATAAATCCAGCGATTTTTTTGTCTACACTGTTAAAGTCATAATGTCAAATTATACCTATAAGTCATTTGAATCATTTTAATCATTTCTATCGTCTCACTGTTCTTACTCAATATGTCATTAATTTAGTTTTTATTTGCATAAGTGCATACATTAATATGAACGTTGTTTACTTTGAAAATAAGCAATTCAATCACAGAAATAAGTTGAATAGATACGGTTTTTTAACCACATGTTTTGTAATAAAATAACACATATAGAAGTTCAAAATTAAAGTTAAAAAATAAATA